AACACTCCTTTTGGCTGACAAACTTATACCTTTGCTGTCTTGGTTCCATTTAGTAATACACAGCGCAGGAATCCTGCTTCCACTTACAAGATTAAGTTTGAGAAATCATGAAAAAATCACATCTCACTGAGAAGGGTGTACACACTGAAATATGTTAGTCTAAGAGACTAAATGAAAATATAATTGCAACCTATCTTTAATTATCCATATAAAAGAGCAAGGTAGACAGACAGCCATAGGGTCAGAGCCATGATTTAGTCTACATGATTTAATTCAAAATTACATTGGCTCAAAATAAACTGTGTGTGTAAACTGGAGTTGCTTTTCTTAATAGCTCCAGAAGGAAAACAATGGCAAGTGGCTGTAGCCATCTGAGAAGGAAAACTACAGGCCAAGAATAAAATGAAGGTTAAGCACACAAGACAGTGTTAAGTACACAAGAAGGTTATGTACCCCAATCACCCTCACTTAAATATTATAAACTGGATGGCTTGGTTTTGATGGCCCTATTAGAAAGAAAAATACCCATCCACATTGGTACTTGATTTTTATGTAACTACACAATTTCTCTTTGATGCACTATCCATCTCATCTGAATTTGGTGGTCTTAATTTGGCAGCATAGCAGTACTATATCTCCATGTTCCCTCTATCTGGTGGAGAGTGTGACATGATTCTTGAAAGCCTGTCCATTTAATTGTTATTTTTAGCTAAACTAATAAAGGGGATCATCTAAATATTTGTTCTTTCTTTCTGTCAAACTGAAGAGTAGAGCAAAAGAAAAAGAAACAAAAACCTGAACTGGGCTGATCCAAGGTTATAACTATCCAGAAGGGCAGATTTACACCTGTGGGCCACATTCCTCCCTGATGTAACTACAGTGACATCAATTCACTTAGCCCCTGGAATGTGTTTTGCCCATGATCTTTGCAGCAAGGAGTATGAGCAAATTAAATCTTGGTAACTATTTCAGGAACTCTGAGCATCTGATTGCCTTTAAGATGAGACTCAGATTCATATTTGAGATTGGAATTCAGTTGATCTCTGTTTACCTTTTTGTCTTTGTTGTTTTCCTTTTTATGATAGGGCTCTGAGGCATCAGATATTATGGGTACAATCCTACTTCCATCTAAATCACTAGCTGTTCTGCCCTTGATTTCAGTTGGAGTAGGACCAGACCAAATTTATGCTGTTATGTAACAGCATATTACTTTGTTATGTAAACAGTGAGGGTTTACCATCAACATACCACACTGGCGACCTAATGGTCCTTAACCACTTTACTGCTGGACTCCATCAGACCTTTTGTGCAGTGACAGAGCTCTTCTAAGAGACAGCATCAACTTCAACTTGGTGCAACACTTAGAAGATTTTTAAAACCTAAAACTGCAAGGAGTGGTTCTACATTACTATAAAAGTCCAGTAGTTCTCAAACCAATAAACACTCCCTTGAAGTGTCTGAAACCCACAGCCTGCAGCAACTGCAACATAACAGGAAACAATCTAAACAAAAATAAAACTTATGCAATTAGCCAAGAAATGCAAAATTGGCCATAAGTTAAGAGCATGAAAAATGATAAATAAGCAGGATTGAACAGGAGTCGTCAATGTGACGAAGTGATCAACAAGGCTAACCGCACTTTATCATGCATTAGCAGATGCATGACAAACAGGTCCATGGAGGTGATGCTTCTCCGCTATGCAGCACTGGTCAGGCCGCAGCTGGAGTACTGCATCCAGTTTTGGGTGCTGCACTTCAACAGGGATGCGGAGAATCTTGAGAGGGCTCAGAGGAGGGCCACTCATATGGTCAGAGGCCTGCAGGCAAGGCCCCACGAGGAGAGACTGAAGGACCTAGATTTCTTCAGCCTTTGGAAGAGAAGGTTGAGAGGTGATCTTGTGGCTGCTTATAAATTCATCAGGGGAGGACAGCAGGAAATAGGAGATGCTGTATTTACTAGGGCACCCCCTGGAGTAACTAGGAACAATGGTCACAAAGCGATGGAGAGCAGATTTAGGTTGGACATTAGAAAGAACTTCTTCACAGTAAGGATTGCCAGAATCTGGAATGGGCTTCCAAGGGAGGTGGTGCTTTTCAAGATGAGATTGGTCTTCAAGATGAGATTGGACAAGGACCTAGCTGGGGTCGTCTGAGCCCAATGCTCTTTCTTGCCCAGGGCAGGGGGTCAGACTTGATGATCTACTGAGGTCCCTTCTGACCCTAACATCTATGAATCTATGAATCCAGTTTAGAAAAGTACACAGCTCAAAACAGCCTCAGACTTTTTTTTCCTGTTTACTTCTCGTCAAATAATGGTGAGTAGGAAAAACAGTTCTTCCCTTTGAAGCAAGGGATTAGCTTTGAAAATAAAAAAATCATGTGCCATGGCACCTGCCTGCCTACATCCCAGTAAACCCTACCCTAATTAAACCTTACTCCCAGCTTAGTGAGATCTCGCAGTGGCCAGAGAGAACGCTACAAGGAAGCATTGAAAGCATGACTCAAGAAAACAGATGCTGATGTCAAGACTTGGGAGCATAGGCACCAACTTTGTTTTTTGCTAGTGGGTACTTGCAGGCATAAAAAAAACCCCAAACCAAAACAAAACCCTCCCCGGCACTCTACTTTTAACTTGGTGCCTTCCTGTGCCAAGCCCTGTGCATGCCCAGAAGAGACTGGCTCTGCAGCATCTGTAAAGACTGAATATTTTAATAGGGCTTTTCTTTGCTTTTATCTAAAAGCTAATTGAACCAGCTTTAGCTAAAAGCACCAAGAAGTCCTGCTGATGCACCCAATCTTTACAGATCCTGCAGAGCCAGGTTGAAGTAATGTGCTGCTTCTTCTGGTAAAGTGCTTTTTTTTTTTTTTAAATGTCTGCAAGCATGGCTCCATGAGTGCTGAGCACCTGCTCATTTTTTTCAGTAGGTGCTTGAGCTCCAGAGTACCCACAGAGTCAGCGCCTATGCTTGGGAGGAGCTGGCTGCTGAGTCCAGTGGCACCACAGTCTCAACTAAGCAGCTGCCTGTTTCAAGGTAAAGTGTCTCACTTTGAGAGAAGAGAGAATGGAGGAAGGAAAAGGAGAGAAATCTTAGCCTATGGCCTACCCTCAAAAGACTTGCAACTTTGGCAAAGGGGTCTGCAGCTCAAGGATTGGACCCATAAGTCCCCTCAAGATCCATGAATGAGCCATGGCAGAGAGCATCCTTGAATCGAGGAACTGCAGCTGACGGAAAGATTTAGTGCACACAGGAAAAGGGGCACCCAAAAATCAGCCTAGTGCTTTTAACCCCTTGGTTCCTACGAAGCCAAGAGGGGAGGGAATCTCATTAGTCTTTCAGGTTTGTTTCTTTTTAAACAAAGCTCAGAGGCAGAGGCTGAGCTGCACCACGGGGCCTTTAGAGGTGTTCTCCACTTGACAGAGCCTGGGACAGCGGTGAGTTGCAGGGGTGAGCTGCACACTGGGCTGAGCCAGCAGGTTGGGAAGGTCCCAGGGCAAACCTTCATATTGCAGAGGACACTCACCCCAGGGTTACGGTGAGTGCTAAGCCCTTGATCAGCATTGCCAAGTTTTAAATATGAAATGATCGTATCGGAAGCTCAAAACGATCACATTTTTTTAAAAACTATCATATACTGAAAAATATGCAAATAGTATGCAAATAAGTTTTTTTATTTACTTTATATTACTCACTATAACTCGTCAGGGAGTGCGAACTGGGTCATCAAAGTTGAAGCACTTCTTTATTTGGAGATAAGCCATGATAAGGAAGGGTTGATAGGAAGTCCCAAGGTTAGCTAAGATCAAGTTGGCTAAACATACTCTTTCCTTTAGCATCTATGCTTAGGAGCAGGATATACCATGACCTTGATGGTGGTTTTCCTACTGGCAGGAGAAAGTCACTTTCTTGTTAAGGATAATGCCCTGGCTGAGGCAATGCATACCTAGCCTCTCACTTGCACTTCCAGTGGGAAGATCTTGGTATATGTTGACTTTATGGAAATGGGAGGCTCTTCCCTAACTTGCTTCTGCAGCCATACAGCTGAGGGCAAGTGCAACTCAGGGGCATCTGAACCCCAAGTCTCCAGGCTCAGATGCCCACCGAAGGATTGGGAAGCATCTGAAGCCCCAGGCAGGGGTGGAGGATGTTTGCCAGTAGTAGGGCCACATTTGGTTCTTGAATGACTCACGGATCTGGAATTAATTTGGCTGATTTGACTTGGAACATGAAAAAAATGTCCTCAAATAAAAAAAACCAACCCAAAGTAGGTTAAGACTTTCTAGGAATGACTTGGGTTTGGGCTCTGCTGCATCAACGAGCTGCCTCAAAAATGCTTAGGGGTGTAGGTTGTAGCCATGTTGGTCTAAAGACAGGCAGACAAGGTTCTTTGGGTGAATCTAATATCTTTTATTAGACCAACTTAAATAGTTGGGAAAAAACTTTTTTTAGCAAGCTTTCGGGTTTAAAAACTCTTGGTCAGGCTGAGGAAGTCCCTGCAGTTGGTGTGTGCTCGTCCTGGATGGAATGAAAACGCTGGCGCATTTTGAACACCTCTGCTCCCGGTGCTGCGCGGTGCCAGGGCTGCGGGGCCAGGCCAAGCGCGCTCATTGCCGCGCACCTGGCAGCGCTGGAGGTGCCAAGCCCTTGATGCGATTACTGCGAGCCCGGGCGCCGCCAGCTCCTCCTCCTGCTCGGAGCAGCCAGTGGCAGCGGCGCCCCCGCGCACCA